GTTGAAAAACTAGCTAACGAGTCTGTAGATAAATTACATAAAATATTTGACGGACAAAATAAGAAATCTCTTTTAGAATTATTAGAAGAAAGTTTTTATATTTTATTAACTAGAATCCCACGGTTTATTAGAACATCTAGTAAGAAATTTACTTTAACATAAACCTTTAAATATTRTTCTAAAGTTAACTTTTTTTTTAGATTATATTAAACAAAAAACTGAATTATCCTTATTGTCTGGATATATAAAACTTTTTGGAAAGGCTCATTTATCTCAAGTGCTCAATTCATATGCTCATCTAGATCGTTTAACTACAGTCCTTATTCAAATATTAGAGCTAGAATATAAAACTATTACCTTATTAGAAGAATCATCAATTAGAGGTAATTAAAATATTGTTTAATTTTAATCATTTATTATTGATTTAAGTATTTATAGTTTCTTTAGTTTAATTTCAATGTATTTTGAATATGTAGATGTTAAGATTTTAAGCAATTTTTGCATTTGACTGTTTCGATTGCTAACTACTATCATCTGTTGTGTTAAATCATTATAAAATGTTTTATTACAATTATTATTACTATTATTATTATTATTATTACCTAATTAGGTAGTAATTTATGGTGGTGATTATCATTCATAGAGGTAATTATCAAAATGCAACTACGTTCATTAATGAATCGTGCAAATATTTGTTCTATTTTTTTAATTGCCTAAAAATAATATTTTGTTTAAACAAGATTTAATTGATTGTTGTGTTTCTTTATATTAGATCTAAATTGTATACAAACAATTACTAGTGAAATGTCCATAAATGTACCTTGGAAACAACTAATACATTTTAATGATACTTCAGCATTATATAAGATAGAATGTATTTGCAAATTAATTGGGTTGTATGGTGACTGTAATTTTATTGGTCGATATTTAATAGATTTATTTGAATCAAGAATAATGTATCGAAAAGAAATAACTCTATTAATAAATATGATTTTGTCAGAAAGTTGGTATCTATCTTAATTCTTAAGTGACTTGATTTATTTTAAACTTGATCATTATTTTATATGGTTTAGACAATGAAGATAGTCATTACAGTATTGTGAGAGATGTTATAGATTTGTATTTAGAATGTGATGTTTGGTATTTACCTACTAGTATTGAAAATGGTTCTACAATAAATATAGCCGATGCTCAAAAAAATGTTGTACAAATATGTCTCATGACCGAAGGATTAGCTAAATTGGTTTCATCTCTCCCTGTGACTCAACAACATTTGTGCCTAATTCATTGTTTATATCCAATACTAGAACGTATTGGCTCTGAACATGGGCCTATTTCATTAGCTGGTAATATTTTGATACTTTGTAATATTTTGCTAGATTATTTATCCAATGTTTATACTTTAGGTCAAGAAGCAATTACATTACTTGCTCGCTCTGGGGGATATAGTAATCCAGTTGAACTTGTTGTAAAAAATTCTGATTATTTATCTCATCATTTCACTAACAAGCTATGGTCACTCAGTAAACATCCAGAAGTATTAAATGCTTTAAAAGTGGTGATGAATTTAAATGGCAGTGATGAACTATTACAATCTTTCCACACAATGGTTACTGAAGTGAGTTTAAAAATATATTTTTTTTCAATAAATAGTTAAATGTTTATTAAATTCCATGATTTGTAGGTTCTTGTTCAGAGTTGTGATGTCCATCGTACAGAAAATATGCATTCTTTCATGAAAGTGTTTCATATATTCGTGATGTGTGTAAGAAAACAGGAACAAAAATGTATGTCAATAACTAATCATATAGAAAAACAAAAATCTTCAAGTAATTGTGTAATAGAAAATATTTTGGCGTATCACAAAATGATGACCTTGGATTTGGAAAATAATCTGGATGATGAATATTGGGAAAATGAAGTCAATAGCAATGCACAGTGGTATAATTATTTATAATGTTATTCTTTCATAACTTTCAAAAATTGACTTTAAGGATTTTCATTTCAGTGAAAATAATGAAAACTTTGATGAAGATGATGAAGATAACAAAAAACCATTACCACCATACATACAAATGGTTCTTTCTATAATGAAACGTGTATTGCATTATTTACCATCAAAACACAATTCTCTTCCATTACAAGTATTTTATTCAATATAAATTAATATATTTTGTGAGGAAATGCATATAATTTTTTTTGTAGATCCTTAATGAAGGTTTAAATGTAATATCAAACTATGAGAACCAGTTGTTGCCAATGGTTCATAAAATATGGTCACCACTTTGTACTAAATTCAATAACAACACTGATGATATAGTGTTTCGTGAAGCATTCAATGTTTTAACCACAATGGCATCGACTGCTAAAGACTTTATTCGTTCACGTTCACTTAAGTTTGTTAGAAAAAAATTTATACTAGATAAATACTAATGTGTAATTTTAAAAATTTCTAGACAAGTTTTGCCAATTATAATAGAACGTTTGATGTCAAGTGCAAAGGAAAGTAACAATGTTTTAAAAGGAAGTGTTTACTTTACAAGCCATAAATATAAAATGCAATATACCATATTGAGTGGTTTAGCAGATTTTATCTTAAATTTAAATTTTTTAGAGAAAGATATGTATGATGTGTCTAATTCTGTTGCATATTATTTAGACAAAGACCAGCCAATCGAATTACAGGTATTTAATGCATATGATTTTTAAATTGTAACAACTGAATATTGAAAATATTGTGTATTTACGATAGAAAAAGTCTAAAGAATTCTACAGAAAACTGTATGCAAAACATTCTGATTTTGTATGGATTTATTTACAATCATTGTATATAGATGAATACGAATATAAATCTGACAATATAAGACTTCCTACGATAAAGGTATTTTCCATTATATTAATGTGTTAATTTTCATTGTAAATTATCACAAATAAACATTTTGTTCTATAATTTTCAGGTTTGCTGTTCATCAATGTTTAACAAATCTAACATTTCAAAAAATGTATCAGAACTACTTGAGCCTTTAAACATGTAATTTTTTTTCATTTAGTCTTTAATTGGATATATTTTTTACTTAAATACTGATCTGTGATAAATATTGTGTTTCGTTTTTACTCAACTCATATTCTATGGTTATTTAACATTTTAAACTTTATTGAACCATTGATATACATATAGTAAAATATAAATACTCATGATTATTGTCTAAAATTTAAATTAATTACATATCAATTTGATTAATTATATTTTTGATTGTTTTTATGTAAGTTTATTATGGTTCAGCTTAGGTAGACCTTTTGTCAAAGATAGTACGAATCAGTTAAGAAAACCCTAAAGGAAATTAATCCATTGTTGGATATGGAAGTGGCATTGGATAATGAAAGGCGGAAGAGTGTGTTGGAAGTGGCGATGGTTCTAAATGGACTGCTATAAGCCCTTGAAGAAGAAGAGCTTTATAATTATTTACAAGTGTCATATCATTATAATCAGCCGCAATTTGACAGTATTTAGTATGTTAGTTTTGTGTTAAGATTATATTATTTTCTTAGATTTCCTTTGTACTAATTTACTAATTTTTATTCATACCTTAGGGATGGTATTCCTAAATTTATAAAACATACATTTTAGATGATAAATTGTATAAAATATAAATCAATTGGGTATAAAAAATGGTTATTGCACACCAATTAGAAAATATCTAGTGCAACATTTTTCTTACTAATTACAGGTTCATTATTTTTAGTCAAGTTACTTTAACAATACAGTAGTACAATACCCAAACATGCTTACAGCAGCAATTTTTATTTCAATGTTTTTTTTTCTTTTACAAATCTGTTAGTTTTATAAGCATTGACTGATTAGTTGTATACTAGATAAGTTTTATAACACTAAAACAACTATGTATTTTAAATTTATTGTTAGAAATTTTATGTTTCTATCAAGGTAGGCAGGATTATATTAGTTTTGCCTTTTCCATATTATGGGGTTTTCAAGTATATGTTGAATAGGTGTATTCTGTGTTTAGTGTTATGTATTTGTTTTGTCTCGTTTGAGTAGCCTTCAACCGTTTCTACATTTACAAAAATTATTCAATTGTTTGATTATTTATTTTTGAATATGGTTATAACCTTAAATGTTTGAGTGGAAATCATCAGTATAGTTTAACTAAATAAAATAAAGTAGTGTTAGTGTTATTTCTGCATTTAAAGAACTAGAAATAACTGTAAGTCATTCATAAAAAAACTTAGGACAACATGCCTGTTGGTTTAATTAGTGATGACCGATGATCTTAAAAATTGGGTAATTAATGATTCTACCAATAAATCTATTGATTTTAAATGATATAGAACAGGACATATCATTTTCTGAAAATTCCATGCTTCTATATTTATTCATTTCTGATTAAATTGATTTTGTCAATAACTGGCTCTGTGTGAATTTTCTTGTTTGCTTAGCTACATGGTACTCCTGATTTAATATGGGTTTCAACCATTTTACTGCTCCAAATTTACTATTATGCCCACAACATTTACTCCATTCACTACTCTAGATGTGACATTATGTTCTTTTATTTTTTAATATTATCATTTGTCAGTAATCGTACAACTTTCGAAACCCTGTCTCATATTATTTTAAACTTAAATAGTTAGATTTGATCTTAAAAATAAAATTTTAAAGATATTTTATTTAACGTAACATACATAATTTGCTGAGCATAAAACTATTGTAGCAGTGAATAAGTTAAATAAACTAAAAATTTTTTTAACTTTTGAATAAAAAATATATTTTTTTGGTATCTTTTAATAAATCTTAGTCATATTCACTGAGTAGAAAAGTGCATAACAAATATTTATATTTTAATAGTTTTCAAGATATGTTATAGTAATATTATATTTGTTCCATAGCCTATTTGGCAAAACAACATATTATGTAGTATAAAAATTAATTTAATATTAAACATCAACATAAATAATAAAATTATTATTCTATCTTACAAAACAGTAATAAAATATTTAAAAAATTTTAAATTTTGATAAATAACAACTTTTTTTTAAATAAGTTTAACAGTTCCAGTACAATGACCACAACATAACTGAATATTAGATTCTAATGCTTGTGATGCTTCCATTATGGCATTACATGTTGCATCTACATTATTCATTTTTTCTCTAGGCATTTTCTGTGTCAATAACTAAAACAAAGAAATAAAATGTTGTATTAAGAAATATAATATATTAATATAATAAATTGTTTAAGATGTATGAAATTTATTACCAGTTTCATAGATTTTTTTAACCAATTAAAGTATATTTTATGTATTGAAAATTATTTCCACTTGAATGTGAAAAAAAAGGTCATATCAAAAATATTAAAAATTTAAAACTTAAAATTATGACATCCAATATAACAAATCTTAAAAAATCATATCAAATAACATATGTATAGCAGGTACTAATTAAGTTTACTTTTTATTCAAAGATTGAGTATGGCATTTATAAATAACTTTAACTGTCTCACTACTAGAAATCAATTTCTAAAGGAATAAAATAGTTGACACAGAATTATAAATTACTGATTTATTACTGAGAAAATATAATGAAAGAATAAATCAAATTGTATCAGTAAAAGTAAATAATCATTTGATTATAATACAGTATGCTTAAGCAGTAAACAGAAAATTGTACCAGGTCTGAAGATTATACCAGTATTGAAACAAGGTTAAATATTTATTAATTTTTAAAAATTAAATATTTTAAAACTGTATTAAGTTACTATTAGCACCAGTGGCGCCGAACTAATTTTTTTTAGGTGTGGCAATGGACATTAATTTATACCCACCCACCTACCTAAGCGCTTTGAAACCTAAGCCGTGGGGGGCTAAGCCCCCCACACCCCCCAAAGACACTACAGATTTTTTAACTTAGAAAATATAATTTTAATAAATAAATATATAACCC